ACGGGTTGAGCCATAAAACCCGAACACGACACGTTTAACTAAATGGGTTATTCGTGTCAACCAGTTTACGACACGAACCCGTTTATGGTAAACCCATTACTTATTTAACTCGTGTTGTGTACGTGTCGTGTTAGTGGGTTGTATCGAACTTTGCCACGCCTAATGGCATATAACATTTACTAAGGTACCTCACATATATATGGACATCAATGTACTCATTTTTCTTTTCTTTTTTTGGAATCAATGTTCTCTTTTTACACTATATCTTTCCTTATGATGTTACAAATATATAATTAAATAATTGTACTTTTAAGGTGTCGCTCTTCAAACACATCCAGGATCCACATTGCAGTTCAATATGGACATTGACGAAGTAAACACATTAAGAAAATGGTTTGTTTTCTTCTACTAAAAATAGTTACATTCATCCATAAATTTAAATACTTTAAAGTATTCAATATATATAGTAATCATTACATACGTACAAATTAAATAATCATTACAAACATACAAATTAAGTAATTTTGTAAATACAATCACGTAGATACTACAAATGCAGGTTTGACAAAACTATATCTGACCATGATATAGGTGCTCTCATCATGAATTCAAGATCTAAAGCTTTTGATGGAGCCGAAAAAATTTGTCTGAATGAGATTATTGGAAAATCAACAACTGCATTGATGGTATGAATCTATATACATTTGTTTTTTAGTATAGACTTTCCATCATTATTTAATTTATTATATTAGTTTTCTTATTAAATCTTTTAATAAAAAATAAATTTATTCATACAAAAATAAAATTTACTTATCATTGTTTAGAAAACAAATTATTATTTCGAAGCAACAATTCAAGAAATTGAAAAGGAAAAGAAACCATGGTACGATGCTTGTATGGAATGCAACAAGAAAGTCAAACTGCTCAACAATGGCATTGTTTGTACTAACTGCAACATAAACAATGTAAAATGCATTCAAAGGTACATTTTTTATTACGTATATTACTTTTAAAAGCACATTAGTTTTAAAAACTTTATAAACGTAAACAACTTCTTATTGTAATTGGTCATTATGCAGATTTGTGATGCGATTAAAAGTGACAAATACAAATGAAGAAGCAAAGATAACAATTTTCGATGATTGTCAGTCACTAATGAATTGTTGTTTGGAAGATCTTCTACGACTAAAAAAATGAGGTGACAATTTGAAATCATTAATAATATTTTAATAGAAGAAAAAAAAAATTGTGTATTACATTATATAATATATTATATAATTTATAAAAGAAAAATAAGGTTAGTCTTTTTTTTTTTTTTTTTTTTTTTTTTTTTTTTTTCTTATAAATATTTAAAGGAAGAAGAGACAAATGAGTTTAGTGACATTGTTAAAAGACGTGAAGGGAAGTCATTTATGTTTTTGGTGAAAATAAACAACAACAATGATGAATTAATCAGAGGCCTCTTTGTCGCACAAGCAATTAAAAAAGTCGGCCGAAACAATGATTTAACAGAAAAACTTAGCACAGAAGAACTTAACATTGACAATGATAGAACAGAAGAACTTAGCATTGACAATGATCCAATTGAAGAACTTCGATCGCCCAAAAGGACAAAACGCTCCTTTCAAAGGAAAAAGAAAAAAATTCAGAATATTGATTCATAGTGTGTTAACTCTCATTGTTTATAATAATTAGTAATTAGTAATATTGCACCACATTGCAAATACTATGTGACCACAGTGCAAATACTATTTTGTAACCACAAAGTGAATATTATTATGTAACCACAAAGTGAATATTATTATGAAACAACATATAAAATAAAAAGTATTTTAGCCTTTTCCATCAAAATTCAAACTTCCCTCGTGCATGTGGCCACCAAATGACCTATACATAGATTTGTTACCAATGAAGTACGGCATGTTTTCTGCCATTGTCTTTGGACTGCCATTGTATTTGAACTCCTTGATTATATTAGTTATAGTTACTGGTGATAAAATATAAGTTCAATAAAAAAATCAAACAAATAAAACCAACTTAAAGAATATGGTGCTCAATTAGAGAAAAAATAAGGAGCATGAAATCAGGTAAGTTTTGTAAGTTATCAAGAATATACGGGGATAGGTTGATAGGTATTTTTTTCAATACTACTAAGTGCAATATATACACACACACACACGGTTTTAGTTTTCTAATTGGAACTAAGATAATAATACAGATTTGATAATGATTATGACAGTTTGATGATAGATTTGATTATGATTAACAGTGTGCCTTTCTACTTTTATATTTAAAAAAGACGTCTATTGTGAAGGGTTGTCTGCTTCTTATAGTAATATAATCTCAAGAAAAAAAAACTCTTTAGTGTTATTTTCTCTTTGCAATTTTTATTTTTTATTTTATTTTTCTTTTTCAAGCCAACATTGTAAGTGCACTGTACTTTTAAAAAAATTGTATACTTAGGTTACAATTCTTCTCTCATCTAAAAACTTTTTATGTCTCTCTTTATTTCTTTTTATAGTTTGAATTGTGAGTTTCTAACAAATTAATGTTTGACACTGTAGATGACATTTTAAGAAAAGGGTAAGAAAGTACAGATGACACCAAAAGAAGTACCGTCCCAAAAAGACCACTGCTTTGGGACAATCCTAAAGCATGTAGCTCTACTTCACAACCATCTTATTTGTGGGAAAGGATATTGTCCGAGTTAAATCATAAAATTGATATTGGTTTCAAAATTCTTTTACAAGAAATACAAAGGTTGACTGAGTTAGTAGAAGCAATTGAGACATCTAGCAATAATGTCATCCACATAAGTTCTGATAGTGAAGAGGAGGATCCATCAGAGGAAGATTCTCCATGGTCTGAAACAAAGTGGAATGATCCAGAATTTTTTGTTATTTATGTAATCTATATTATGTTTTATTAAATGTAATGTAAAATAAATGTTCATTTATATTATTAATTGATTAATTGTGTTTGGTAGAGAATTTGCAAATTCATTATATATATATATATATATATATATATATATATATATATATATAATATAATATAAAATTATTTTAACATAATGTGTTTTGAAGAGTTATCTCAAAGAATTGTCATGGCGGTTCTAAAAAGTTATCATTATTAACGTATATTTTTTATATTATATTTTTCTGTATAAATAGTTGTTTATAAATTGAAATACATGTTCGGTGAGAATTCATTTTTGTTTTCTTTATAAACTATCTTCTAAACATAATAAAGTGTGTGTATGAATCCATCTTTATCTCTTATCATCTTTGTGAAAAAAAAAATCTCTCTTTGGAAAGACTTGTATGCAAATTGAAATACATGGTTAGAACCCCCTTTTTTTTTTTTAAAATTCGTTAAGGACTTTGTGATTTCATAGAATTTATTCTCTTGGATAATATTTTAAGATTTTTTTGCTATATATTAATAAATATAACATAATGTTTTGTTTGTTTAAAAAAATCTTTATGTATTTTTTTCTTTCTCATGTATTAATAATCATATACCAACTCTCTTTATCACTTCAAAGTTTTATTTTTTAAGTTATTTATTATTGATTATTTACGTAACTTATAAAAAAAAATTAAACTACTTAATGAGTTACAATCTTAACAACAAGCACACCTTTTAAAAGTCATCTCCTTAATGCAAAACACTTCTAATACTTTAATAATAATAATTAGACAAAAAAATAATTAAGGCCTTCATATAAATCATATTAATAGTTATATGACTTTTTTAAATTCTTTATTTTAATAATTATCACTCAAAAAATTAATTTGAATTAACATCTATTCCGTTAATCTAAATTAATTCTAATTAAATTATTTTCTATTTGTATACAATTTTATTAATTAAATATTAACTTAAATAAGTTAATAAAAAAATAATTAAAGAATTTTGAATTTACATTATTGTTATTAATATGTTTAATCCGAAACAACACATCAATTATTGAAGGACACGAACGTTCATGTAAATGACACAACCTTTTACAAAGGACACACATATTGAATAAAATAGTAAAATAACAGTTGTCCAGCATATTCAATAAATAATTATGAAGTAAATAACATGATTAACATAAATAGCAACAAAGGAGAAATTAGAAAAAGTCGCATCACCATTTTGTAAAAAATCAACCAAAAAAAATTAAATACCAATTAAAAATGATTTTTCTACTAAAAGGAGTCATTGTGATAAAAATATATTATTAGTTAGTCAATATTCCGTGATGAAAAATATTTTCTTCTTTCATTTTTTGGTTTGGAAGATTCAAAATTAAAGTCAATTTTATTTTATTTTGAGATAAAATAATACATAAAATACAATTATTTATTCAATATAGATTTTTATTTACATACATTGCACGTGTTCATTTTCTAGTGTATATATATATAAAATACAAAATACACACACACACACACACGTATATATCTGACCTTAAGTTCTTCAACTTTGCTGGAGTGTTTGGTGCTTTTAGAGAGGTGGCGTCGATTATAGGATGGATGAAGTAAAAATGAACAAATGGATTCATTTATAAGCAAAAGGCTACAATAGTCGTATTAAAGGACAATTTTGGTATTATAAAAAAATGGCAGATCACATGCTGTAGTTGTGGGTCGGAAAGTTGCCAGAGGGAGGTAATTTGTACGATTTTGATAGTTGTGATACTAATTTATTCATTTTCATAGTTAAAGGGTCTATTGTTGATACTTCAGGTTTTTATGCTTTTTTACCTAAAAAGAATTAAAACCCAACTTAGTAACACATGCCATATATCACATACCCACCAATTAACTACAATCTGGCTTAGACTTAGTTTAGTTGTTACGTACCTAAACCATTCCCTTATTACGTAAAAAGAAATAGTAACGATTACAATCATTCAATAATATATCTATCCAACTTCATACCTATCATTTCATATCCAAAATAATACTACAAATATAAAGGTTGGAGCTCAACCAGATATCAAGTAGAAAAATAAAAAAATCAAGAAGAATAATTCCATGCGAACGTTCCTACAGTAAGCTCGCAACATCAACCAGTAAACGATTTTAGTTACTCATATTCTGTCGATCACCTGGTTGACAATCCAAACTCACGTAGAAACGCACACATAGTTTACACTTTCCTTGTCACGAAAACTTTACTTTTGTCTGCACTGAGACCACGCAACTAATCTGGACGTAACGCCGTTAAGCAGTTAACGGCGACCATCTATCTCTCTTGCTTTGTGTTCGTGTTTTCTCTCTCATGATCTAACTCGTCGGAGGCCTCGTGTTTGTAGGAGCGGGTCTGGTTCTCTACAGACACTATTTTTTCTCTCTTTGTCCGTTGAAAGGGAGCGGATCTCTTTCTCTCTCCTCTTATCTTTCTCTCTAATTTTTTTTTTCTCTCTCTTGGAGGAGCCAGCGGGCGAGGGCTCGGAATCTCGCCTGGGATCAAACCGCCGTCGCTCGCCGGGGACTCCATGAATTAAGGCCGGAAGCTCTGAATTTTCCGGCCAGGTTAGGGGAATAGACAAGCGGTTTCTTGTGTGTGAGAGAGAAAAGATATGAATTCTAGAGAGAGAAAATGAAATGAGAGAATACATGTGGATAACGTGCAATGTAGGGAAAAAAGAAGAGAGTGATTGCAAGGTATCAAACGCTTGGAGGTTCTTGCACGCCACAGATACCTAGATCTCTTCTTCAATTTCCCTTGCCTTGTGCAATAATCCATTCTATTTCGATTTCAATTTCAATTTCTCTGTTTTTTGTTTAAATTGTTCTCTGTGCTTCTTTCGTTTATCTCTCCCCATCTCTCTCTCTCATAAATCCGTTCTCACTATAGCGCTCTGATTTTCGAGTCTTCAAAGCTGGCGTTCATAATTTAAATGGTAAGTATTTTATTTTATTTTTGTTGTTGTTGAATTATCGCTGCATTTGATTTTTTTTGGTGATTTTAAAGCTTCGATCTTTGATCGATTGGGTTTGAAGTTTAAAGTTGTTTCCTTTTTCCATTTCGGGCCTTTTTGTGCGATTAGAGTTACAGGCTTCTTTTTTTTTTTTTTTTTCCGGTTATTAAAATTTATTTCTTTCGCTTTTTAGTTTGACCGAAATGAAGAATTCATTTAGGTAGTGAATTTTGGAAAAAATATATCTTCAAAATTTTGCAATAATCAATTTGTTTATTTCAAATTAGTAATTGCTTTTTTTTTTTTTTGGTAAGTAATTTAACTGCTAATTTTGTCTTAAATTCTTATCTGAGATCTATTTCTATTGACATCTGTGGAGGCCTTACCATAATTGAAAGGATAATTTAATTATTTTTTGATTATTTAGTGTTCTTCTCTCCGCCAAATTGTATGAAAATAACATTTGAGGTCTTAAATGCGTCTGTGTTACTAATCCTTGGTTTTATAAAAGTGGTTTTTATTCTTTGTTGTAAAATATATTTCTTGACAGCAATGGTTGGGTGTTCAAATATTTAATTTCTATATAGTACTAAATAATTTCATGTACTTCCCATGTAGATTTTGTTTTTCAGAATTTTTTTTCCTTCTAATTGTATTTAGAATTGGTGTTCATGCAGTAGTAGAAGCTGGAGGTGGAACTGTTTTCAAGTTTCAGTGTCCTTTTTTTTAGTTAAGGTATCATTATGCCATCTGAAATAATGGACCTAAAGGGGTTGTCTTCATCATCATTCTTCTCTGAGGAAGTGTGTTTTCCTAACGAGGTACTGATTGCCTCTATATTGATCATTATATTCTGATTGAGTAATTCATATGGATTTAACAAATTTTCATTTATTTAGAGATTAATGTAATCTGATACTTCAAACTTGAGGCTTTTTGGAATTTTTTTTGTTCTCTGTCATATATTTTCTTAATCATGAATGTTCTTTCCAGTGTCATTAAATTTATTTATTTATTTATTTTTTATCTTTACATTTGGCAGAGAAAGGTTGGCTTTTGGAAGCCGGATAACATGCCTGACCACTATGGTAAGTAGTAATATATTTCAACAATATAGGCGTTGTCGTTTTAGTGACCTAAAACATAATTGTGATTAAATGAAAGCTTATGAAATTCTTACAATGTTCAGCAAGTCAAAGCTGTTTCTGTAGTTGTATTTGTATTTGTTTGTTCTTTCTTCTAGCATTTTGCAGCACATGGTATTTACCTGTTTGAAGTTAGTTTTATGTTCACTTTTGGCCTTATCATCGCTCTGGACTAGTCAGGATAGTTACTGCCCTAAACAGGATTCTGTGTTTTCTTTTGGTCTGCTCTGTATCATTATAAGTCTCTAATTTGGAAGTCAATCTTGTTTTGCATGTAGAAAATCTGTAATGTAGAATCGACATTATTAGTTGTCCAATTAGATGGCCCATATTTATTTGGTGTACATTCTTGTAACATTTAATTAAGGTTGTCAGGATTGAGATTCAATGTACGGTTGATGAGGGGTCCATAGGATCGAAATCGTAGGATCAGATTGAGGATTGAAAGATTCTATCAAACTATTAAAACAATAACTTAAAAGTAACTTTCTAAATCAAAATATTGTCAATGTAAGATAAACAACCAACACCTAAAATCAACATTCTAGCAAAATCAATTAACATTAAAAGATACTAATACGCATGGCAAACACTTAAAATCAATTTCTTGATTTCCTCTATATACAAAAGCATCAACATAACAGTCAAGCAGAATTTTGCAGAAGAAATTAAAGTAAAGACTAAATAAATAGAAAAGGGGAATAGAGATACAGAGAGAAAAGTACAAATTAGTTGCCTAATTGTTTTAGCAATTTAGTTGAAAGATTACTTTTTGGTTCAGAAAAAGAACAAAACAGAGATAGAAAGAACTGCGGGAGTAGAACAAAATCTCTCTTTGTTTTTGTTTCATAATGGGCAAAGAATAGGCAGGAAAAATGAGTTCTTTCTGTTTCTTATTCTGAAAAGGAAAGAAGAAAAGAGAAATTAAGAAGAATAAAGCAAATAGAAGAAACTTTTGAAGTTTTGAGCCACGCCTTTAAAATCCAGAGCTAGATCGTCTCTACCTTTGAAGTTGGGTCTCTTTTTTTTTTTAAAAAATTTAATTAGGCTAAAGAGTTATATTTAAAATCATTAAAATTCTTTGCCCAAAAAGGGTTGTAACCCAAATAAATTTAGAAGATGAACAAAACAACACAATTTAGTAGGATCGTGCAATCCTATTTGATTCTCGATTCTACTTCTGATTCTACTGATCCTACTGTGATCGTACTTCCCAGCAATTTTTCATGCAATCGGGATCGATTTTACAATTTGGGATTGTGGGATCGTAAGATTCTACTATCCAGATCATTTTTAACAACCAAGCATTTAATATGATTTTTATTGACCTTGGAGCATGGACAGTTGGATGGATTCTAAGAGACTTAAAACATGACCTTTGGGGAGATTTTCAATCACCATTTTAGTAGTTGCAAACTAAGGCATGTTTGACATTGTTATGTCTGAAAATGTTATTTGAAGTACAGTTTTAGTTATTAATTAAAAAAGAAGTATAGATTCCATGACTCGTTCCTTTGAAAGTCCCCTTTTTTGTTTTTCCCTTTCCCTAATGAGTATCCTTTTTGAAAGTTTTTTTATCATAAACATCCTGGTGTACGTTCTCCTGAGCCTAGATACACAATGGGAGATTGACCATTATTAATCTAGATTTTATTTAAAGGTATGGCATATAAACATTTAAAGTATGAAGAAATTCCTGCCATAGGATGAATGAAAATACCTTGCTGACTACATGATCAAATTTTATAATTGATCCTATTAGTTATGATTAGTGGACAAATTTTTACAACTTTACACTCCTGAAATGTCTATAATTACAGTACAATAGGCTTATCTTATCTAATTATAGATGTGCATGGTGGAATATCTAAGTTTCTTTTCTCCATATTACACCACTGCTGTCTCTCTCTGTTTCTTTCTTCTGTTGTTTATTGCCTGTGTCATGCTTCCCGATTTGGACTTTTGGAGGTTACTTTTTTATCCTGATGGCCTGTTTTCATTTGTACTCAAGCAGTTGCAATTTCTTGGATCTGAACTTGGTAAATTTTAAGATGTGGGCTGAATTATTTCAAGCTTACAACATTAATAAATTATAGCATGAAGAGGGTTTCAATATATTGGTACTTTTGCCATTATCACCAATACTTTGCCCACAAGTAATGATGCACCCACATTATTTCTTTCCTGACACAGTGATGGCATGTAGGTCCTAGTGGAAGAGTAGTTTGGCACTGTCTTCTAGTATCTAACAAATCAGTTGCCATATGAAGTAAGATGTAGCAGTTATGACAACAGTTAGTAACGCAACAATGGATCATGAGAGGCAGACACGCAAAGTAGAGGCATGAAAACAAGTATTAAGAAGTTGTTACTGATCAAAATGCATTTGAGAAGCATTTAGAAAATTGCTACGAGAACTATATAGGAAGGACAGCAGAAGTATTAATGAATAACGTGACAGAATTTAAGAACTTGAAAGCATTTCAATCTAGAAGTAAATGTGACCTGTGAATTTATAAATGCAAATGATGCTATATTAGTCAAAGTGTACTTGGTTGATAAAGATTTTTTAGTCCATTAATCATTGCTTATTGCACTTTTTTGGTAATGATTAGCTCATTTATTTATATTAGTCACCATTCCTAACTGAAGAAGCTTCGAATTATTTTAGAAGTATGATTATAAAACAATTATACATGACTAAATTTCTGGAAGCATCAAGTTTGGACGTTGAGGTGTGAATTGAAAATAAATGGGATGAGTAGCAAGGTTCCAAATCCTTTTTTTAATATCTTTGGAAGCATCTTTTTTCTTACTTTTGAAGCATATACCTATATGGATGCAAATTCAAACCTTTATAGATGAATCAGCTGATTACCATGGTGACATCATATGCAAGTTGGCATTGATTTTAATTGGTACATATAGTGCTTGAGAGGTTGGCCTTTTGGCATGCATCAGTCTCCTAAAAAAGGGATTTCTTCTGAATTCCAAGTTAATTTTATTATGAGTGTAACTCACAATTTGCTTTAGTTCGAATGGGAGAACAGGCTGATTTTCTTGTTGTTATTAGTAGGAGTTTTAGATTCTACATCCTACACAAAAACAGAATGATGAAATTGACAAATTTGAAAAGTAGGACTTATGGAAAGTGTTATATTATTTAAAGTGAAACTTGAAAGGTGCATGTGCGTTGCACAAACATATTGTTGTCAACACCAAGAGACGAAATGAGTGGAGAAAGGTGGTGAGATTTAGTTGATTTTGATTCTTTAAATAAAATTTATCTTGTTAGACATGTATTTCTTGAAATATACTTATCTTCTTGACTTCATCAACAAGAATGAAAGGCTTCATTATATATGAATTGCTTAAAAATGTAAGAGCAAAAATTAAACAAAATAAAACAATTTCCGTAATTCTGTCAAAATATTTTATGTAGGCATGGACAAAGTGCATATTTATGATAGGTTTATGATGGCTTTAATGCTTTTGTGCATCCATGTATGCATGTCTAATGAAAATAATCAGATTTTGTTGTACAACACTTTGGAGTCTTGATGTCAGATTGCCCCTTTATGTCTAGATTGGCAGTTCCCTAACTTATTTTGTGTCAATGCTATAGAGATTATCAATATATATCTTTTCCCTTAATATTTTTCTTCTGCCAGGCAACAAAGGGACTTGAGCCTATACACTAAGCCTGAGAGGTCAACGGGATACCTTGCCTACTAGGCCAGTTAGAAGTATCTTATTTAGTATAGCCATGTTGGAGTTAGGCCTACCAATTTGATGATGCTTTTATTAGAAGGGTCCTAGGGATAATATGGGAATTTGACCCTGAGATCAATGTTGACTAGCATATTGGTGTTAAATAATCCAAATTGGTTCAGTCTGTTGGGCTGAATTCAACTGTATTTGGTTCTTTAACTGTCCCAGCTGGACTTGAAGCAGAATTATCTGAAAACCGGTGTATCTCATCAAATTCAACAAAATCGACACTGAAAAGAAATGTGCCCTTTTTGTTCACTCTATAATATGTTGCTCTTATTTGGTGTAAATGTGGTCTTACTAAAAAGAAATTTTATATCTGCATTCTTGTCAGATATTTCCTATCGTATTATACAAATAAATATCTCTTTTCTACATTCAGTAGCAAATTGATCCTTAGTGGGTAAACAAAGCCATAATGGAATTGCAAATATCAGGCATGTGGCTTCTCACATGACTGCTTTTACAAGCTATGATAATAAGGATTAAATACTATGAAGATATGAAGTTGCAAAACAACAAATGGTTACCAGTTAACCTGAAATTGGTTGGAGTCAAACCCCCTCAGAACACAATTCAAAATGACTGGAAGGTACAGTAATACCCTGACACTGACTTCCCAATCATCTTTCTTACGTGAATGGAGGAAATGGGGATACACTGATATTGTTTTTAGTGCCCTGGATATGCCCATTGTATTTTTGTAGTTTGTTGGCCTTGAGGCTTGCTAATTGAAACCTTAGTTACCTCCAAAAAAAAAAAAAAGTCGCAATCCAGAACAATGCATGCCTAAAAGGCACCCAGTTGAATTCAGAGGATCCATCCTTTGTGATCAACATATCTGCAATATTTGGGATTATTGAGTAGATGACTTGGCCAGTTCTTTTACTGTTAAACTATCATAGTGGCCTTTTTTGGGGTATCCTCTTTTGGATCCCTTTTTTTGAATGTTGAAATAATTCATTTGACCTGTCTTCTTGTAAAAGACTCTCATAGTCTGGAATATGATGCAGATGTCCAAGTAAAATGGAAAGTATGCCAGATGAGTCCTCAATAAATTCCTGCATATAAAAGGGCCAAATGCTGGAATATTCTTGAATTAATTTTGTGTTCCTGCACAATTAATGCACATGCATTAGTTTTGCTGATTTAACTTATTGGCTTTCCCAATTATTTCTTGAAGTAATGTTATAATATATGAGTGCTACCTTTATTCAGGCATAAAAGTGGATGGAACATTACGAACAGAAGGCGGCAGTTCAATTGCTTCGTCACCCCTGGAGAAACGGTTTCCAATGGATTTTCAGACGTCGAAGTGCTTTGAACCTCCTGAACCTTTCCTAAGCAGGAACCAAAAAGTTAATGTTAGCTTAGAGAAGCATTCAGTTGGAGCAGAGCGAACAGCCATTCGTCCTTTGCAGAGACCTTTTGATCGTGATCCGGGATCAATATCTAATCTGAATTCGGAGCCAGCATCTTATTTTATGGAGAGGGACAAAATCAATTTCATGGGTTCTCAGTATGAAAATGGTCTCTTCTCCAGTTCATTGTCCGAGTTATTTAGCAGAAAATGTAAGCACTCCCCTTCTCTCTCTCTCTCTCTATCTCGTGCGTGCACGCACACACTCTCCAGATCCAATAAATGATCATTCCTGTTCAAAATTTGCATACTGGTGCAAGCTAATATGCTTGACTGTTAAATATTTGTCCTACAACTAAATGCATGGTTGTGTGGAATCAGTTTGTGACTTGTTATCTTAAGCTAAATGCAATATTATGTTGATTCACTGACATATCTGTTCCTGTTGTTTCAATGTTGGTTTCTGTGGTGCAGTAAGATTATCATCAAATAATGTTCTATATGGCCATTCTGTTGGAACTGCTGTCCCCCACTATGAGGAAGATGAACCTCTTGAATCCCTTGAGGAAATTGAAGCCCAAACTATTGGAGATCTCCTCCCTAGTGACGATGATTTGCTTTCTGGAGTGACTAAGGGGTTTGACTATAATGCCCAACCTAGCAGTGGAGATGATATAGAAGATTTAGACATTTTTAATAGTATTGGAGGGATGGACTTAGGAGAAGATAGCTCATCTCCAGGACCAAGAAGCTCTGAACTTTCTGGAGGAAATTCTACTAGTCAGCTGGGGGGATCTAGTAGTTCAATTGCTGGGGAACATCCTTACGGGGAACATCCATCTAGAACACTATTTGTGCGAAATATAAATAGCAATGTTGAAGATTCTGAGCTACGGGCCCTTTTTGAGGTGTGACAATCTTCTCTTCCTTGCAGTGCTTTAGTTTGATTTCCATGCATCTTTGTAACTCGAATAATTTGTCTTGGATGTCGAAATTTTATTGTTGTATCTTGAATGTGCAGCAATATGGAGATATCCGCACTCTTTATACAGCTTGCAAACATAGGGGCTTTGTTATGATTTCCTATTATGATATTAGAGCAGCCCGAAATGCGATGAGAGTACTTCAGAACAAACCATTGAGACGTAGAAAGCTTGACATACATTACTCAATTCCCAAGGTATGTTTCAACTATATTCATTCTTGCCAATTTGTACATTAGATTTTGTGTTTCTTACTTTGCCACACACTGGTCATTGTTGCTGTCATTGCAATCATTGGAAATTTATGCATATGAGTTGGCGTATCTCCATTGCATTTTCATTGGCACAAAAATTGTGTTGTTGACCCCTTGCCCTGGTGTTTATATTTCATTAGGACAACCCTTCAGATAAAGATGTCAACCAAGGCACTCTTGTGGTTTTTAACCTGGAATCTTCTGTTTCAAATGAGGAACTCCATCAAATTTTTGGTGTCTATGGCGAGATTAAGGAGGTGAACTTGTTTGCTTTCCCGTGTTGTGCTTTAAAGTTCAACTGGCATGTCATTGACATGACTAATGCTTGTTTCTGGAGTGCAGATCCGAGGGACTCCACACAGAGATCATAACAAGTTCATTGAGTTTTATGATATTAGAGCTGCAGAAGCCGCTCTTCGTGCATTGAACAGGAGTGATATCGCAGGGAAGCGGATTAAACTTGAACCAAGTCGTCCTGGTGGTGCTAGACGGTAGTATAGTCTAACCTCAACAATTGTTCTTCTTTTTCTTCTTTCTGGTCCATTTTCTTGCTTGGTGCTTCTTTTGATACCAGCTCATAATGGAAACTAAATTATGCGGGGGGCAGATTTTTATTTTTAATTTTTCTTGCTTGGTGCTGGGATTTGGGAAGAAACATATATAACCAATTTAAGATGGAAGCACGACACCTGTGGTTTTTTCTTTTATGTGTGTGTGTATTATATTCATTCCTTTAACTTTAGCATGTTGTTGATATGTGATTATTAATTATTAATTCAATGAAGCCTTGTCCAACTATTTGGGTTAGCTATATGGATCTTATTTCATCATTCGATTTGATGGTCACAACTTCAATTAGAACATAACCTAACATGTGTCCCCCACCATCTCTTATCTTCTTCCTTCCCCTGGGATCCCCTTTAACGTGGGCCAGGTCACTCTCCTCACTAGTATGTTACTTGTGTTAGCTGCATTGCCAAACCATCTTAGTCAGCTTTCTCTCGTTCTATTTTCAATTGTTGCTACTTCTACCATCTTATAAATTTACTCGTTATTAATTTTATCCTTTCTTTTTTTACCACAGATCTACCGTAGAATATATCTTCTGGCTATGATCATATGATTAATATGTGTGTGTATATTTTGGTGCTGCATAACATTCGGTGTCATGCAGCATAGATGATTTTAATAGCCTTTCTATATAATCTTCCTTTCACATTTATATAGATATATATTGATCACAAAGCATGATGGAGGCTGCCTCCATATAATTTTCCTTTCACATCTTTACTTTTTTTCTTTTAGAATTTTCTTTCGGGTAACATTATCTGCACAGGTTACGACTCTGTTCACTATTTGACATTTCTTGTCCTTTGATCTTTACTTCTTGTTTGTATATTTAACTTTACTGAAGCTGCACTCCATATTATTCTGTTTTAATTTTGAATATAAATAGGTCATTTTAATTGATGCTGATTTACTTTTGTTTCCTTTGTGTTAACCTTTATATATATATTTTACTTTTTTGCAGTTTGATGCCAGCTTTTCCTCCGGAGATGGAGCAAGATGAATCTGGTACATATCTGCAGCGGAGTAGTCCTCCTAATAATTTGATGACACCATTTTCTGGTATGATTACTGCCAGTGAGATATACTTTAATATCCCTTTTGTCCCATTTGTACTCGGAACATGTTTCTGTTCTCACAATAATCATTTACAGGACCAGTTTCACAGGCAGTAATTACATCTTCAAGTATGGACAATGGAACAAATTTGGGTGCACATTCTGCAATTCAATCCCCTATTAGTCCATTCCCGGAAAATACATTCAACCAGGGAATCTCATCCAGTGTTCCGAACAGCTTACCCTCTCCAGTGAGACTTGAATCAGTAGGCAACCAGTCCAGTTTCACTGAGTCTGGCCACTCGCATGGCCAACTAAAATTTGATTTTCATGATATGCCAAATTTTCATCCTCATTCACTCCCAGAGTATCATGATGGTCTAACTGCTGGTGCTCCGTGCAATTCTCCGGGCATGGCTGCAAATATTAGTGTCAGGTCCTTGGATAGAATAGAGAACAGGCAGTTCTGCGGAACAAGTTCAAATGGGCACTCAATTGAACTGAATGAAGGAAGTAAGTCTAATGGATTGCAAGTTTCCATTGTTTTTAAGTGCATCAACTCTCATTTCTTTTGAGTGACTGGTAAAGTAACATGGTATCAATACTAGGAAGTTTTTCAAAACACTATATAGAAAAAAATAGAAGAAAAGAGAATTCGAAAGTTGACTCATGTCACGGTGGGGTTTATTTAAGTTGATCTATTCCCTGATATTTTTATTTTACTTTCTTTTGCTATCTTTCACAGTTTTTGGTCCCTCTGGAAATGGGAGCAGTCTCCTTCCTGGACATCATTACATGTGGAGTAATTCACATCATCCTCAACCACAAAGCATGATGTGGCCGAACTCACCATCATTCGTCAATGGAGTCTGTACTACTCATCCTTCTCCACGATTGCATGCACTTCCCAGAGCACCATCTCATATGCCGAACACACTTTTACACATGAATAACCCCCATGTTGGATCGGCACCATCTATTAATGCTTCTATCTGGGACAGGCGACATGCCTATGGAGGGGAATCCCCTGATGCTTCTGGTTTTCACCCAGGTTCTCTTGGGAATATCAGAATTTCTGGTAACTCACCACATCCTTTGGAATTTGTTTCACATAACATTTTTCCTCGTGTTGGTGGAAGCTGTATGGACCTGCCCATTCCCTCCAAAAATGTTGGGTTGCACTTCCATCATCAGAGGTGTCCAATACTTCCTGGTAGAGGACAAATGGTTCCGATGATGAATTTGTTTGATTCTCCAAATGAGCGTGGTAGAAGCCGCAGAAATGAAGGCAGCTCCAATCAGGCTGACAACAAGAAACAGTTTGAACTTGACATTGACCGCATAATGCGAGGGGAAGACAACCGGACAACGCTTATGATAAAGAACATTCCTAACAAGTATGTAGTAATTCCTTACAGCTCTATGACCATATATTCTACTTCTTGAACACAAAATTCTTATCATTGAAATTCACTAGTGCTCTTTCATTCTGCAATATCAAGCTAATATGTAAAAGGGAAATAGATTATAATTTCACGGTTGTCTTGATGCAAATATTTACTCAAGTTATAAGTTTATTTGTGATAGTTCGCCTAGGCTAGACACTGTCATGTTGTTTTTTGGCACTTGGACGTGCAATTACAAACAAACCCTTCTGTATCATTTCGGTATATGCATGAGTTCATTCTTGATCTTGAAAATTTGTATTTTGTTTCTTTCCTCTTGTTTTGTTTTTACTTGGCTACTTGTTTAATTAATCCCTGAGATAATTAATTTTCTTAATCAAGGTGTATGCATTGTTGTTTGCTTAGAATTCTATAACAAATGGCTGATTGATTATAATGATACAACTACTCTATATTGAGCATTCTATACAACACACATTGGCAACTAGCTGTAATTATTTGACTTGTTTAATATATGACATATATATTAAGTATATCTTTAGACATTGCTACAACCTAACTCACCTATGGTCACTGACAACTATGGTCTAATGCATAATTTAAAATATGTATCTTTTATCAAGTCGGGACTATAAAGTTGGTGAGACGCGTTCTTAGCTGAAATCCAAATTGGAACCATCAGATTCACGGTGTTAAACCATCCAAATCAGGCTGATTAGCTCCTCTAGTGATGGGCGGAACTGTGGAAGTATTGATTTTCATTTATGTTAAAACTAATTTTAGGAGATAGCCTTGTTCTTATCTTTGTAATCTTTGCATGGTTAGGAGAAATATTTCAGATCATTTACTGAATGGGTTTTAGTCATTGCTAGGTACTAATTGTTTGTCTTTTACAATGGTGGTGATTGTAGGTATACTTCAAAGATGCTTTTGGCTGCAATTGATGAACGCCATCGAGGAACTTATGATTTTGTTTACTTGCCCATTGATTTCAAGGCAAGTGCTGCTTTTTTTTTTATTTTTTATAATTAAAATAAAAAAATTCTATGTTGTAGAGTGGGGACAACTCAATGTGTTTCTTTAGCTTGGCCTCTGTAAATGTAATAATTACTTGGACTTACCTTTTGTTGCAGAACAAATGCAATGTTGGTTACGCTTTCATCAACATGACAGATCCTTCCCTGATTGTCCCGTTCTATCAGGTTTTCTTTTTTTTGTTTTTTTTTGTTTTTAATTTTTTTTTTTAAATATGCTATATGATGATACCATTTCTTTTCTGGGTTAATGTTATGACTCTTATTCTGATATCTGTTATAGTTTGTAATTTATCACCACTAAGCTAATACAGAAGAAAACAAACTTTTGGCAGTCATTCAATGGAAAAAAATGGGAAAAGTTCAATAGCGAAAAGGTGGCGTCACTAGCATATGCTCGGATACAGGGAAAATCTGCTCTGATTGCCCATTTCCAAAATTCAAGCCTGATGAATGAGGATAAGAGATGCCGGCCTATCCTTTTTCACACAGAGGGTCCCAATGCGGGTGATCAGGTAAGAGCATCTCTTCATGCGCAAAATGCGTGCCCTATTTATTTTTGTTTTAAAATCTTTTGGAGCTTCTTGAACATAAGATGAAGTCCGGAAACTTGCACAATAAGCCTGCCGAGATGGTGGAACTTCATATTTAAGATATCTTCTGTGTAGGCAAAATGTTGGTTTTGTGCCCATGACATTTCGTGGTACTTTTGATTGTTGTCCTATCTTATATTGCTATGAGATAGTCTAGTCCAGAAGGACAGAGAGGACACTAATACCGAACAACAGCAATAGCAATGATACTTATAGCATGAAGCAGCAGCAGCAAAAGAAAAAAAGTATTTTATACAGTCTTTTTCTCTCTGCAGGTGCCCTTTCCCATGGGTGTTAATGTTCGACCTAGACCCGTCAAGAATAGAGCCAGTACCAGTGAGGAAAACAATCAAGAAAGCTCAACAAACCTGACCAATGGGGAGGAATCTTACAGTGGAGATTCTTCAGGCTCCGGAAAGGATTCAGAGTGAGTGACATTTCCTCCTTGTTGGCACTAACCTATAGAGTGTACCAAAAAATTTGTAAATTACATCCACCTCAAATTTTAGTAACAAATATTTAGGGGTGGTTGACGGAAAAAGACCTTTTTGGTACTTACGGAGAGCCTCCTAAAAATCCTGAGAATCCATGCTTGACCAAGCTTGGTGCATCACCCATTTTCTTGGGGGTTACTGAAAAATACCGAGGCGGTTAGATAAAGGAGCAACGGATGGAGCTTCGAAATTTTGGATGGTTTTGAGAATTTGACTTCGAAAAAACATGTACATGTATAGAAGTTTCTGACCAACAGAGAAATATATGCTGCACCTTTAGGAGGCTTCTCTGCTATATGATTACTTTTTTTGACATTTTCCTTCTCTTTTTCGGGTTTGTGAGTTGTCTGCTAGAGAACTCGTATTGTTTAAAAAATTTTGAGGGGATAAATTGATGATGTCTTGTATTATTGCTCTAAAGTTTGGAGAGGTGTGGAGTCTTTTACAATGGCTTTGTCACTGTCTTTCTTAATGCAAATGCTCTGCCTTTTGTACTTACCTAGTTAATGCTTTTCTTTATCATTTAATGTTGGTACATGCTTTATCCGAGTGAGAATAATTGACTAGTATTGAGGCAATATCTTCTACTACGTATTTTATTTCGCATTTGGTGTCTGGGACACAATGGTCAAAGTTCATATCACAAACCATTCTTTCTGAAATTTGATTTAGATGTAGATGTTGTGTTACTTGAATGGCTTTGAAAAGTAGCTACAGGCATGGAGTAAATTGACCATTTTTATCCACTTTTAATATAGATCTGTTTCCATTGTCCTTGTTTATTTTATGTTACTGTTTTCTTGTTAAATTTCTTAATTTTCAGACATATTGCTTCTTCTTTTTTTTATTTTTATTTTTATTTTTTCACTTAAATTTACTAGAATAGTTTGTTCAGTTAATTGCTCTTTCATTGGTATTCGAACAATTGAGTAAGAGCCTTAATAAAGCAGAGCCATACTTGATTAAGTCATGTTAGAGTTTGAGCCAAATTTAAGTCACTTTGGAAGATCCTTAAAGCAAGATCACTTGAGAGAAGTTTAATGCCATTGCCAACTGAATGAACCTGGCCCCCCCCCTTTTTTTTTTTTTTTTTTTTTTTTTTTTTTTTTTTCAAGTGGCCGTTTGACGCCGTATGAGATTTGATTGAAAATTACAAAAATGGGGTGCCTTCAAAGAAATAAATAAATTTAAGATTTTTGCTCCTGTTGTCCATAAAGAAAACTTGTCTGCATGTGCCTATAAGATGCATTTTCGAGTAGCAAAACATTACTGGGATACCACCACAACAATGACAAGAAGCCTTTTTTTTTTTTTTTTTTTTTTTTTTCAATTATTTTGGGTGGGCTACATGAATTGTATATTTTCATTCTATTCCCTTTAAGCCAAGTCAAATCACATACTATCATATTCCTTCTTACACACTTCACTTAAGTAAAACCACGTGTTATCATATCACTCCTTACTAACTTATGTGGTCTCTCTCTTTTCCTAGTATTATCCTCAATATAGACCACATCACGCTTCCTAATTGATGCATTTAAAGGTCTTTATGCCCAAACCATCTTAATTAATATTCTCTAAGGGTTAGATTGGTGCAATGGAAAAGGGAGGAAAGGAAAGGGAAGGTGATGGAGGGTGATTAAAAATTTGTGTTTGGCATAAATGGTGGAAGGAAAGGGAACGAAAGGGATGGTTTTGGAAATGAGAATGCTTAAAACAGTAAATTTCTTATCCTCCAAAAAATAGGAGGAAATGGAAGGAAAGGGAAGGAGAGGCTTGTTCTATGATTTTGGATGCCGAATTTATCCTTGATTTTAGTTTGCAAAACAAGAATTACAGACCTTGATTAGTTGATTTAGAAGAAAAAAAATTAAAACAAAACCCATACGTACAAAACCCAGCGGCTGAAGCTTGTGAACGGTGAGCCCGAACTGGAATAGCGGGCGATGGAAACTGAAAGATATGGGTTTTGATTTTTATGAACAATCTGAAACGATATGTCGATATGGGTTTTGAACTTTTGATTCTTGTAGACAGATAGATAAACTGAAATATATGGGTTTTGAACTTTTGATTCTTGTAAATTTTGTAGTTTGCAGTTGGAGAGAGAGAGAGAGAGAGAGAGAGAGAGGGGGGGGGGGGGGGGGGCAAGTTCAGAGTCAACAACGATAATAGAGATGGAGGCGATTGGTAAGGCTTGCCCTAAAAATATTTTCTTTCTTTTCTGGTGGCCCATCAGCATTGGGCCTTAACATGAGACAATATATATATATGATGGAGGCGATTGGTGAGGCTTGCCCTAAAAATATTTTCTTTCTTTTCTGGTGGCCCATCAGCATTGGGCCTTAATAGGAGACAATATATATATATATATAAATTTATCTTTTATAATATTAAAAGGTATAATAGTAATTTTATTAAAATAATTTCTTTTCTTTCTTTTCCTTCCTTTTTCCAAATATGATTATTATCCTTCGCTTTCTTTTCCTTCATTAATCAACCAAATATGATAGAGGGTTAAAATTATCCTTCCTTTCCATTTCCCTCATAACTAATGTTATCCTCCCTTCAAACCCACCGTACCAAACATAGCCTAATTGTATTACCCTTAATGTTGTGAGCGGAAAAGCAAAAACAACGATTTCCAATGAGTAAAATAAACAATTACGAAGAAAAAATAAAAAAAAAATGAAAAATAATCACAATAAAAAAATAAAAAATAATTACACACAAGAACACAAAATATACGTGGTTCACTCAAAATTGAGGGCTACGTCTATGGAGCGCACTGAACAAGTTCCACTATGAAAAAAAATGAAAGATTACAATGGAAAATTTCCTCTCATGCTCTCTCAATTGCTCTCTTTTGGGCACAAATGAATTCAATCATTCACACTTTACCCTAAAATCTTATTAGGGTTGGTATAAATAGTCCCAGACAAAGGAACATAACTTGCCCCACAAGTCTTGCATTTTTGGAGAGTCAGAAACCAACTTGGAAGCAATTTATGCACCTTCCCAGGTGACTTGGACGGGTTCCAGAAAAATGCAACCGTTCCATCTTGACAAAACACCGTTTAAACCCAAGCGGGACTAGTCTAGAAAAAACAAAATTGATCCATTTTGGCCAGTAGCCAAATAAATCTTCGGTGTCTCCATATACGGAACTTGAATCGGTTATCTTATCATAAAAACTTTGTTACATTATAAGTAGAACTGGTTCAAAATATTGGGATCGGTCCATTTTGGTCAGTAGCCAAAACGAACATCAACATTTGCAAATTTGACGGCTCCAAATTCTTCAGAACATAATCCTAACATGCGATTAGACTCCACAAACCTTAACCATTTCCCACTTGAAGGATGGAACTCTTGTAAACTCATTTCATCATCTTCTCATGCATGTCCAATGCATGTCTGTGTAGTCATCTCTGTCTTAAAGCTAGAAGACCAACTAAAGCTGCCCACAACTTTAGTTTCTCCACAGCCATTGTCTTGGTCAACATGTTAGCCAGATTCTCAATGCTAAGAATCTTCTCAAGTGTTAACACCCTATCTTTCAATCACGATCCAATGAAATGATACTAATATCCTATATGCTTGGTCCTTAAATGAAATGCTGAATTTTTCACCATATACATCACACTCTGACTATCACTGTGCAAAACATTCTTCACTTGCTTGAATCTAAATTCTACTAACAAACCCTATAACCAAATCATCTCATTGTTGGCCTCTGTCATCGCCACATACTCTGCCTCTATAGTAGATAATGCTACAATCTTTTATATTTACGGAACTCAACTAACTGAAGTCGTGCCCACTCTAAAAACATGCCCGAGAGTACTCCTTCTGCGATCCACTTCACTAGCAAAGTATGCATCTACATACCTATGTAGCTTCACCTCGCACCTTCTGAACATAAGTATCCGTCTGTGGTACCATGTAAATATCTCAATATCCACTTTACTGCTTCCCAGTGTAACTTGCCCGGATCTTTCATGAACCTATATACTATTCTCACTACATATGTAATGTTTGGTCTCATGCACACCATGGTTTACTTCAAACTTCCAATGGTTGAGGCATTTCAAAATTTTAGTCATGAAGTTTTGCTCACCCTCTGATCTTTGGACACTAATCTTGAGATAATCAGAAGTGACTAGCTAAGGGTGTATTTACTGCCTTAGCATTATTTATGTTAAACCTCTTCACAAACTGTTTGACGTACTCAGCCTGAGACAATTGCAAAGTACCTCTCTACTTGTCCTTGCTAATCCTCATCCTAAGAATCAGCTTTCCTGCACCAAGATATTTCATCTTGAACTCACTCAATAACTACTTCTTCAATTTGCTAATTTCTTCAAAATCAGAACTTACCACTAACAAGTCATCAACATAAAGTAGGAGGATAATAAAACTTAACTTAAACCTCTTGAAATAACAACAATGGTCAGCGTTGCACTTGTTATAGCCATGTCTCTGCATAAACAAATCAAACTTCTTGTATCATTGCCTCGGGGCTTGCTTCAAACCATTTTGTTTACCTTGCACACAAGTTTTCCTTCCCTTTGAGTGAGAAACCCTCCGGTTGTTGCATGTAAATTTCCTCCTTTAAGTCACCATGGAGGAAAGCAATTTTGACGTATAACTGCTCAAGGTACAACCCCTCTGCTCCAATAATGCTAAGAACTAAGCGAATGGTACTTAGTTTCAAAGCTGGAGAAAAAATATATGTATAGTCAATCCTTTATTTATGCTGAAAGTCTTTAACTATATGGTGAGATTGTGTCAATCTTGTATGAAAAGATTAATTGAATAATTTGCTAGCAGGCTTATTTATGACAATTGAGTTAAATATCATGTATATGTTAAAGTGGTAGGAATTGGTAGCGTTGAAATTATGTTGTAAAGGCATATATGTGAAGATGGTTATGTGAATGTTTTACAAGCATGTTGAGTGTTTGGTTGATTGATTATGTAAAGTAACTTGTTGAATTTTTTTAATGTGAAAGCATGCTTGTAAAATGTGGTTTGATGTAGTTGGATGGCCTATTCACTTCATGATGCTAGCTAGGTGCATCCATGGAAGTATTTAAACTCATGCATTGGGTAGAGAATGTGTGAGTGAAAGGGAAATATGAAATTGATGATATTTTAAATATGTGAATTTGTGATGGATGGAAGACAAACGGTAGTCTTGTTTCTGAGATTTCGGTGACTAGGCCCCAAATGGTTGGATGAGCAGTGGTCTCAAGCCAGGGATAGCTAGCCAGTGTTCTAAATGGTGAAATAGCGGTAGACTTGTGACATTTAGATTTAGAGGCCTCTAGTGTAGATTTGTGTAGTGTGATGGATTGGTTGGGAAAGTGCTATTGTGTGTGTAGGATGAGATCATGAGGTTGGTTCGGAGATGATTCATAGCATAAGCAATCTTAACATTGTTGGTTTGTGGTGCACTTGTGCGCGTGAATGTTGTTAAGTTGATGTTTATATAC